AAAGCAGCGCGCGCTGGCCGCTCCAGATCTCGCACGGTGGCAGGTGGGGGAGTCTTTCACTTTACGTTATCGCTTTGCGACCACAATGGATCTATTGTGTCTTGGTATGCGTGCATTGTGTGCCGGAAAGCGGCGATTGCTCTTGCTAGTTCTGCGATAGACTCTGGTTTCTTCGCGCAGGATGCGGATTTCCTCTCCGCCATCCGTAGCTGGAAGGAACCTCCGTCCCAGAATTTATAATCTGAGTTCTACGAATGGTTTACAAAGAGGTTGGATGAGGATTGGGGAAATCTGAATGTTCGTTGATGTTTTCTTAAACTTTCGGTGGTTTGTTTGTGTGTGGAGCCCAAATGCTTTAGGCTTATGAGACATAAGAATATTTGATCAATTTTTTCGTAAAATATTATTTGGACTTTCCTCATTACGTCCTATTTTCGTTTACTTCATTGACACTTGCTAAAAAATTCTCGCTATGTATCGCAAACTTCCCTTGAAGTCACGTGACCTTAAAATATGTTAAGATGTCTATTATTTTCTTTAAATAAAACAATATTAATGGTGATATTGAATAAGCGGTTCTAGCGGGCTTTGATTCTGTGTATGTGCGGTACACAGAGACATTCGATCGAAATGTGTAAATATTCAGACTTCTCATCACTCAACTACTTGAAAAGTATGATCTATGCATATTATGAATTGCTCATGCCAACTTCAACAAGGAAGTGGCAAATATGTCAACAACTTGTAAATATTCCTTATTCATGAGAACTCATTAAATTATTTCTTAATGATAAACGATCCTCAAAGTTATTCAATTCGTGTATGCTTTTAATGAAATTTACATCTTTCTATCGAAGCACCATCGCAGAATGTCTTGGAAAAATATGTTCTTTGAAGAAGAAAAAATCCCGAACGTGGACTTAAAACCACGCACCTGTCACCGCGCAGATGTCGCCGTCTTCCACGCGGTTCTTGCCGCGCGGCATGCCGTTATAGCAGCTCGCGCGTTTCCTTTTCCACAAAACGCCCGACAACGTCTCGAACTGTAACACGGACATCAAAATTCTCGACCTCATCGAACGAGTTTGTCCGCTGCTGCTTTTCTTGCACTCCGGTCAGAAACTGGTCGGTTTCATTAGTATGGCTTTTATCGCCTTGTACATTTTTGCGCCCCCACGATTTTTCATCGCCACAAATCAGGCGATTTCTTCCTCGTACCTCGGAGCGTGATTTTACGAGATAATGAGCCTCCCGCCCTGTTCCCAGAGGTCGGCCGTCTCGTCAGCGTGTTCCGTACAGCTCCGGCGATTTCTTCAGCTCTGTAAAATACGACACGAACGCGGACAGGGATTATTGCTTTACCACGCTCTACAAAAAAGATCGTACTGGAAGCGAAGTCGTACCGCTATAAATTACGGACAAGGTAATGATAAGTTAATAGAAATAAAATGGGTTTTGCGTGTAATTGACAGCGAAAGCGAGATATATTTCTGTGTCTGTGCAACTTTTTACGCGCCTGCAGAACACGGCAGTTCCCCCCCCCCCCCTTCCGCAAGAATCCGGGCGCGCCGTTTAGCGTGCGGCCGCGTTGGGCGTGTCTCGTGGTCGCGGCGACCATTACGCCGGCTGCCGCTGGCTGCTGCTTGATTTACTTTGCTGGTCGCGTCCGCTGCTGTTGCCGCCGTCGCCGTCGCTGCCGCTGCGTTCAAACCAGTTGCAGCGCCAGTGGCGTGTAATCCAATGAGCCGAAGGTTAACGCGTGCGGTCGCCTCCAGGCGCAAACTAGCCGGCGATTGACACACTTGTGCCTTTTAGGGCGAGCACTGGATTGCAAGGCAGTTTCTGTGAAAATTTGATCCACAGATTGAAAGCTTCTTCTTCTTCCTCACTTCTTTTTCTTCCCGTTCTTTTTCTTCTCATCTGTTTTCTTTTTCAGGATTTTAGAACTGCCATTCAAACAACATATTTCCAGACAGCCATTCTGTAAAGCTGACTTCCCTTCTATTTGTTTCCGTCTGATAAATTAATTGGAACTATTCTTGTGGTAATATTTTAATGTCAGAAGAAAACATGAACATTGAACTTTGCCCTTGTGTTCTCTTTTGAAACCTATTCCCATCCATCTGTCCTGATATTTCCTGTTTTTATAATGTTATGGGTTTAGTGATTAATTCTAACTGGTTTAAAGGGCAATAAATAGGTATTTTGTAACACCTCATTGCGTTATATTTTAAAACATGATTGTCATTTTGCAATGTGTGATGAAAGTAGTGTTCTATTTATAACAATATTTCCAAATCTAATATGTTACTTTATTTGCCCGCAGTCTCAAGCTGGAGTGTGAGAAGTTAGCGAGTGAGAAAATCGAGATCCAGCGGCACTACGTTATGGTAAGCACCAACTCTTCCATTTTTAGGTTTAGAATTACATTTAGTCCCCTATCAGTAGAGCGGAAGTAGTACATTGCGTTTAAAAACGGTTTACATGACAGCGCCCGCTGATCCATTTTCGAGAACGCTCGACTCCTGTAAAATGTGAGAACAGTTTATTGAGCACTTTTGATTAGCTCACCATACAACTATTCGCGTGTCGAAGCGCATGTCATTTAGAGGGAAAAACACTCTTTCGATATCCACGAACGTGCAATTTCGTGTTAAATTTATTCAGTTTCGATTGAAGAAAACCGGTACTCTTATGTGCGAAAGTTTCTCTTTCTCACGTTTAATATTCTTGAACCAAACACACTTTCCCTGTAGGCGAAGTCGTCTCTTAATATTTTAGGAAACACTGCTTTAACATCAAGCCGCTTAGCTAAGAAAAAGTAAAATCATAAAAAAACAACTGACTTGGGTTATCATTGGACATAAACGCAGAAATTTCTTAGCCAGGAGATTGCCCTCACGGCATCGATGACAATGCAGTATCTACCGTTTGGGACGCAACGTCCTTTTTGGGCGCAGCTAATGGCTGTTAGACTCGCCCCTTTCCATTCTGACTCCTCACGGACTCTCCATGATGCAATGGGAGGGGTGTTATATCGTGCATCTGCCAGCTGTACAGCCAATCAGGGCCCTCACGGCCTGACGGAGCTCCGAGTAAGAGGAAATCTTTAAAGCGATAAGAGATAATATTTGACTATGATGTGTAATATATACATTTTGAGGCATTAATTTAAATGTGAATTCCAAAAAGTAAACATTTTCTATGCCTCAATCCTTCATCATTAAACGGTCCCTCTTGACGAAACTGTTTTGTTGAGGTGTCTCGGACGTATGTCTGGTCGCCTGTTTGTTCATGCGCTGGCCACTCGAAAATTCGCCCGCCGTGTTTAGAACACCCTCTAATCTTCGCATCGCTAGGCTGCTACTACACTCCCCGCCGCCCCGATCCCCTCACCAGTTGCCTTCGCCCTCGCTGACTGGGCTTCGGGAGCCATTAGCTCGCTGAGCGTTCAACGTAACTCGGCGCGGCGGCGGACGGGGGTCGTCCCGGCCCCCCCTGGGGGCACCAGGTGTCGCGGGCGCAGGTGGGGGGCGGGGGGGGGGCTCTGCGCGCCAGGTGCGATGGCCCCAGGGACCGGGCAGGGTCCTCCTGCCGGAGGTGCCGGCGTCCGTGTTTTGTCTTCCAAGAAGAACGGGGTACCGTTTCTGGGACGGTGTCTTAATTTTGTGGTTGTCGATAATGAATTTCTTGCGGAGGGCCCCAGGAGGAAGTAGCGGTGAGGTGCCGCGTGTTATTTGAATTTAAATGAGTTGTTAGTTGAGCAGGTGATACAGTTGACGAACATTCGTTTGACTTCATGCGAGGATCTCTTGGTTACACTCTTGGCAGAGTTCAGCTATAGTGCTATCAGTCAAGTTTTCGTGATCTCGCTTTGATAACGAGGGTATTACCACAAGCGGTTAATCATTCTAAACTGAAAAGAGAATTGATGTTAGTAATCCAGCGCTAATTTGAATAATGTTGTCTAAATACGCGTTCCAAAAGTCGCGACGTGACTCCTGACTCGGCGTTTGTGGTAGCCGCCTTGGGCAGCCCTGTCCCCGGCGTGAGGCGGACTACCCGTCTCCTTGTACGATCCGTGTTGCCTTATATAAAACAGGTTGTCGGTGCCCGATCTGGCAGGCCCCCTCCGCCTGCGTGGCTGCTCGCCCTGGCGCGCTCTTGTTCATCCTTCTCCCTCTCCGTCTCGCGCCGCCTCCGTCGCTCTCGCTCGCTCGCTCGCTCGGGCTGGCGTTCGTGGGCGCGGGTTTTTGCGGCGTCGGATTATGCGGCGGCGGCGGCGGCGGCGGCGTCTTACGAGCTTAATGTGATTGGGATCTCGGCGCATGCGCACACTGCGGCCGGCCATCTGCCGTGCCGCCGCCGCCGCCGCCTCGGGAGCCCCCTCGCGTCGCTTCCGGTGGCAGCTGCGCCCCCTCGCGCCGCCGTCGACCCCCTCGCAATTAGTCCCCCTCTTCCCCTTCCTCCGCCCGCCCCTCCCCTCCGCGCCTCACCCTCCTGCCCTCACGAACAATTTCCCTCCGGACCTCCCCTTCGCGTCCCGCTGCCCGCCCGGCGCGCCCGCCTAAAGAGCAGCCATTATATGCGTGAACGTAAAAACACGCCCCGCCGGGAGCTTATCTCAGATCGAGAACTTGTTCCCCCTGTCGTATCTCTCAGTAGGATGTTGAAGAGGCCTATCACTGACGGATATGTATATAAATACGTTTCAAGTTTAAGTGAATGCTAAGTGCGACTTCTTTCCTTTATAAATGGTTCTCACTCGGCATCGCTTCTTGGCTTCTGCATATCAGCACCATCTACGCGTGCCGGCCTAATTACTGGAGAGCCGCTGAGATGTAGATGCTGGTGACGTGAAGCCGTACAACTTATTCCCTGGATGTCATCTCGAAAGCCCAGCGGAGCGGGCGAGGCGCGTTCGGGACGTTTTTGCTCTCGTGCGCGTTTTCTCTCGATTTCGCGAGAAACAGTTGCGAATCTGCTCACGTCTGTAGTGTTTCTCGCGGGCGCCGGCGTCACTGCGAGCGCCGCGGGACCAGAAATGGCGGCGGGAACGGAGTGGTAGACTGTCAACTGTCCGCGGCGAAATGAAATGATTTCCCCAGAGGAAGCGACAAGACCGAGAAAGCGCAGGAGAGTAAAAAAAAGAAATAGAAAAAGCCTTGTTAATTTGGCATCAATGTTCTGTAGAGAAGGGGTGTATATTAGCATAAGAACAAAGAGAAAATTAAAAAGTGAAGCACTTGTGCCGAGAGGGTGTGCGGAGTACAAAGACTTGCTTTTGAGGCCTCAGACATTGTGCAGAGTACAGGGTGGGTAGAAAGTTAAGAATTTCGAAATTTTATTTTATTATTTACATTTTGTTTTAAATCATCCTAAATGCAGAAACATTTCCCATCGTAATAATTACCATAACACAGTCCAGGTTATAACATCTACTTCGGTTTTTAATAACACGCCAGTTAGCAAAATGGGTTTCTTTTGTCGAAACCTGGTGTTTGTGGCACAGGATTCCAGCATTTCTGTTCTAGTCTATCAATAAAGAAGCACCGAGTTGATTGGACTGTTCGTGCACCCTGTGTGTTGTCCTCTTGTACGTCAGCAACACGGCGCCACGACAAGGACGAGCGGGACTTTTCCTTGATTGCAATATGCATTAAGAAGCGCCGCAACACGCTTCCCATGTTTCCGTACATAGTCGCCCTTCCATTGTTCTAGAAAGGCCGCTCCGAAAACGCCTCGGCGAATCACGCGCGTTTTGTGGAGTGTAACGATCTGGCGCGGCCGCAACGCGCGACGCGGCGCGCCGGTATGGCGTTGCGCGTTCCTCAAATATTACAGCATTGTTTATATCGTCAGACAAACAGATTATTACTGCAACGGAACGGGTAGTATATAACGCAAAGACCATTACAGCTGGCTCGTACACGCACAAAACTGCGCCAACAAAGCTTCATCATTTTTCAGGCTCTCTAGTGTTTTCGCAGATCCCGCAAACATATTCGTTGGTATTTGCGGACGATACCAAAGTAAGAATTAATAATTACTGTTTATTTTGCGACTAATGTAAATTGCCATGCACTTCGTCATATAAATAAACAAAAACCGCTTTTTATGGCATCGTACATGTGTGAAATTGCATTATTAACAAGTAAATAACGATGTAATTTTAATGCTGCGCTTTGAGCTCGGTAAAACTCGACAAAAAACATTCTTCAATTTTACCCCGCGGCGCGAAAAAAAAGACCGACGCCCCGAATCATTACGGAGAGAACATTAAAATGGTTATAACTACTTTTGTCGTTTTTTTTTTTTCGAACGCGCAGAGAACGCGTGTGGTCTGCGCGCTGATTACAAACGCGAGGCTAGCGCGCCGCACGCGGTGCCGTCCCCACACCACCCGCGCCCACCCCGGCCGGCGCCGCGCCGGAGCCGGAAGGGGGGGGGAGGAAAGCGTCGGAAAACTGAAAGCCCTCCACTCTCCCCGCCCCCGCCCTCGCCCTCGCCCT